TGTGTGTGTGTGTGTGTGTGTGTGTGTGTGTGTGTGTGTGTGTGTGTCTGTCTGTCTGTGTTGCATGCACTGGGAAGAGAATGGCAATTCGGGAGTATAGATCTCTGTAGTTTTAGAAGGACAGACTGCTCATGAGAATAACAGCTAAGGGTAGCATCCCGTGGAAACAAAGCACGAAAACATCCAAGTCTGTTTCTCCCTCCCCCGTGTCTTACTCCTGAGAAAACAGAGAATTCTGTAGTTTAAGATCTGTTGGAGTCTTATGAAGACACACCATAAGTGTATTCTTTTGTGTGTAGGGGTGGGGGACAGTGGGCATGTGTGTGAGCTCATGGGGGCTCCAAGGGGACATCAGGTGACCTGATCCATCACGAGGTCTCTCGCTGAACACAGAGCTGGGCTGGTGGCCAGAAAGCCCCAGCAACCCTCTTGTCTGCTCTGTGAAGCAGGGGACAGAGATGGCATATGGCCAGGTCCAGCCTTTTATGTGAGAGTTGGGGACCTGAACTCATGTCTCCTGATTGAATAGCAGACTCATCCCTACCAAGCCATTTCTGCAGCCCCTCTTTGACATATTAAGATATGGGAAAACCGTTGTTTAAGTAACCAATGTTATTAAATACATTCACATTGTTACACACTTTGACTCCTTCTCTAGAATTTTTTTCTCTTCTGCGCCAGCCTCAGAATCACTCTTCTGCATTCTGTCTCAGGATTTAACTACTGTCAATGTTTTCCTAAACAAGATGGCGCCATCTGCCCTTTGTGTATGGTGTCTTTCTCTTAGCATGATATCCGACCCTGTTCTTTGGCTCATACCCTTTCCCCCATGTTATTTGTTGAAGCACTTTTACATTTGGCTTCATTTGCTGTGTCGTGGGAGAAATGAGACAAGATGCTACAACTTTTTTCCCCAGGCAGTGCATTTATAAAATTAGCTTAATAGATGTGCTTTGCCACAGAATGTTTCGTTGTGACATCAGGCTGGTGTTCTGCTTGTTTCCAGGCGTGGAAGAGAAGGTGGTTCGTGCTGCGCAGTGGCCGTTTGACCGGAGACCCCGATGTCCTGGAGTATTACAAAAATGATCACGCCAAGAAGCCTATCCGGATTATTGATTTAAATTTATGTCAGCAAGTGGATGCTGGGTTGACATTCAACAAAAAGGAGTTTGAAAACAGCTACATCTTTGATATCAACACCATCGACCGGATTTTCTACTTGGTGGCAGACAGTGAGGAGGACATGAACAAGTGGGTCCGCTGTATCTGTGACATCTGTGGCTTCAATCCCACAGAAGAGGGTAGGTCAAGGCTTTATTCTGTTTGTTTGTTTTTTTCCAAAGAATTTTAATAGAAAAGCACTTAGAAAAATCATTTTTTAAAGGTGTAAATTTTAAACAATGTATATTATAATGGCGTAGGCTAGTAATGTAGCATAACTTATACATATTAAAAGAGAAACAAATTATTGACCCATTCATTCTATTTCCCATGTTAGATTTTTTTTTTTAATTTACGATATGTGTATAAGCGTTTTGCTTGCTTGTATGTCTATGTACCACATGCATTCGGTGCCTATGGAGACCAGAAGAAGGTGTTAGATCCCCTGAGACTGAAGTTACAGATGGTTTTGGGTGGTCATGTGAAAGCTGGGAATTGAACCTGGATCCTAAAGGAAGAGCTAGTGCTCTTCACCACTGATCCAGCTGTCCAGACCCAGAGTTTAAGGTTTTGTTACTCAGTTTCAGCAGTCCTTTTTTTTTCTTTTTCTTTTTTTTTTTTTTTTTTTTTTTTTTTT